ATTTCTGGGCCGGGGCACCCCAGTGCCAGCTACTTCCACTTGACCGAATACAACGCAAAGCCGTTCGAATTGTCTACGACCGAGTTCTTTCTGACAGGCTCGATGCCTTGGCACTGCGTAGGGTTGCGTATTTGTGTATGTTGCACCCCTTTGCATTTTCTATCGAATTTACCACGGGGAGTGCTCTGAGAAATTGTTCGGATTAATTCCAGCCGCCAAATTTCACGAACTCACCTCGCGTCAAAATTCACGATACCATCCTCACCATATGGATGCTTGGCGATCCACGACTGTGAGTTTTACTAGAAGTTTTCTTCCTCGTACAACTTCTTTGTGGAATTGTTTGCCACCGGCGATTTTTCCGGACCGATACGACTTAGGGACATTCAAGAAAAGAGCTTACACCTTTATAGAAGGCCGGTAACGCATCTGCAATTCCCCTGGTGTTGCAGTTGTTCATGGGCGGCGGTAGTCACTTACCATCAGGTGAGCCGCATGCTCGTTTGCCCCCTCTCCTATAAACAAAAATCATTAAAAGTACGGAGTGCAAACCTCTGTTTTCTTATGTGTGTCTCACAGAATGCCAGCGTAAAATAGCAGCTTGACATTGCTGTGTTTCGTATGGTGAGTGTAGAGAACCGGAGACCCTTTTTACTGGAAAAGAGGCAGTCCATCTTAGTCCTTACGGTTGACAACGCATCTGCTTTTTAATTCGCAAACGAAGATAGATGTAGATGTGTATGAGTCACAGCAACCACTTACCATCAGGTGGACTGTGTGCTCGTTTGTTTCCCTTATTCTATATAAAAAAAACATCTTTCCTCGCGCCTACCAACAATCGTGGGAGTGATTTCGTAAAAAATGACGGAAGTGTGTAACAGGAAGCTGGGGAAGCGCTCGCTATTTGATTTGACCAATATGCGCGCCTGGTGGTAGAGTTACTAAAAGTTTCTAGATCATAAACTTTAAATAATACAGGTTTTCACATTTATCTTATACAACTTTGCTCTTTTCTTCTAAACGGGTTATCCGATTTGCGTATTTCCAATTGGAATATTAGTATTATTGACGGCTCCGTGGCTCAGTGGCTTCGCAATGAGCTGTTGCGCTGGGGGCCGTGGGTTCGAATCCCGCACGGAACAAGTATTTGTATGGCCTACAAGTAATTGTTCCGGGTCTGGATGTTTGTCCTTGTGCAATTTATGTTTGTAAACTGCCTCCACGATACAGGAGAAAATCCTAGTGTGGGGTAACGTTTTTTTAAAAAAAAAAAGAAAGTTCCAGACCTAAACCTATATTTTGAGACTAAAATTATTGAAATATCTACAAATAACAAACAAAAATTCTCATTTTCAACTTACGTAACTAATTATACAAAAACTACCAGCATTCGAAATTCTCTTCAAACTCTAAATGTACACAGATCGAAATGTTTCGTTATCTAACAGTGGTACTTTTATTGACGCAGTTTTTCAACGATTTTTAAATACTTTGAAATCACAAACACTATATGTCTTATATTATAGCTTTATCATAAGTCTATTGTCTCCGCTCTCCCCCAAATTGAATAAAAATAACTTCAATCAAAAATTGCATTATTCCTAGTGTTAATTAAATAAAATACAATTAAAAAGAATTGTTTTTCGTTATGAAAAATCATTTCAGATAATACATAATATATTTTTTCAAGATAATATGTTAATGTTGCTTATTACCAAGGTGAGATGAATTTTGAGTGATTTATTATACGAATACTACATAGGTAATTAATAAAACAAACTTTACGGATTTTATTTTGTTTAACTTATTTTAATTCGTGACGTTTGGGTGCTTCAACTTTATTTTAGTATGTAACGCGTCGAGAGCTCAATTAGATAAACATAGAAAGCTAGGCCATCCTGTTTCCGTTACTAAAAACCGATAAGCATTATCTGGTCATCATGAGACCTTCAGAATGTGTCCATGCTCACGGATTTTTTGGGCTCACCGTAACCGGAGTTCAAGCTAGTATCAGTGGGGTGTCTCCCGCTCTACAGATAGGTAATTTAATAAACAGATAAAAATAAATAACACATTTATTTAATAAATAAAATTTACCATAATGAATAAAATTATCATAATATCTGACCCATTTCTTAAAAGTGTCTTAATACTGACCTTATCATGAATAAAAATATCTTTTGAAGTGTTAATATATAGGAAACGTTATTTATATATAATATATACGGAACGGATTTAATTTCTAGATCGATGAAGCCGCAGCCGTGCGCGTTTAGTTGGCGTGACTCCTATAAATTAAAAATATCATTTCCTATCTATTAACTAGCTGTTCCACGCGACTTTGCCCGCGTGTACATTATTACAATTGGATTTCATGGGTTTTAATTTTTTTGCACGGAACCCTAATTCTTATTTTAAATTAAAAGTAGCCTAAGTTCCTCCATATAATATCAGTTATCTGCCAACTGAAAGTCTCGTCAAAATCGGTTCAGTCGATTCGAAGATTAGCCGGAACAAAAAGACAGACAGACAGACAGAAAGATAATAAAAGATTTTAAAAATTGTGTTTTTGTTATAAGTACCGTATGTACTTTCATATGCATTTAGTAAAAAACTGTTATTTTGACATTACAAATAGACACTTCAATTTTATTTTTTTCTATAGATATTAATAGACAGGAAATGATATTAAATAAGATTTAGATATTATTAAATATCATTTAATTTATCCATATATATGATATTTTATAGGAGTCACGCAAACCAAACGCCAACGGCCACGCCACACGTGATAAATATCGATATATCGAAAAATCTATTTTATTATTTAGAAATATCGATATTTATTTTTAATATTTTTGGACGACATATATTGAAATATAGATATACGACAGTCGATATATTTTTTAAAATAATTTATTTATTTTTTCACGTAAATCATTTAATCTACAACACCATCGTAAACTTAAATCCTAATCCTTGATGGACCCAATCTACTATACTTTATTTACACTATATTATGTTTTTCATTTTTCCCCAATTTATTAATTTGCTTATTATCTTAAAAAGAAATGTAATTTTGTAAAGTATATCTCTGTGATATTAAAATCACTATAATCTATGAAACTTAGTACTACTTTACTTACTGTGAGTTTTGGTAAGGAGCTTGACCATTGACGGATTGTTGCTCCTGTTTTATCGTTTAAAAAATCGTTTGAACTGGATTTTTATCAAAGTGATGCGATTATGTGTATTAAGTGTCTGCACATGTGAGCTATTAACGCTATTAAGTGAGAAAACGACAAAATAAGTGCTTCGATGTTGGTATAAACCTCAAGTAATTTTAATTGCTTAGGCGTCTTATGATTTACTTCTGTCCTATCAGAAATAGCTGTTAAATATTTGATTTCTTTAGCTGCATCCGTAGCATCTGAACCAATTACTTCTACAATCAATCTTTTAGTGCCCAATAATCGCAGTATTGAAACAGCTGAACATATAAAACAACGAATATTTTTGAAAACTTTTACTGACAAATATTGGTAAACATAATTGTCTTATTTAAATTAAACAATAATTAAAGTTAAAGTTACAGCCTTATACATCCCAATGTATAAGGCTGTAACTGAATCTCCTAATTTCTGAGAGGGTTTTAGGGCAACGTCCGCCGCGCTGCCCAATGCGTGTTGGTGAACTTCAAGTTTTTTGAAATTTTTATTTTATATCTCAGACATGCAGGTTTTCTCACGATGTTTTCCTTCATCGTCGAGCACGTGGTAAATCAGCACTTAAAATTGCAATTAAAAATTTCATTGGTGCCGGCGTTGTTTAATAAATATACTAAATTATAAACTGTGTAAATCATTTTTAAGCAATAAGCATCGATATATCGCTTATATTTTCGATATATAAAACTCCGATATTGATATAATATTTATAAATATCGATATATTGAAAATCCGATATTTTAAAAATATCAACAGTCCTAGTTTGAAGTGATCAGTTGGAATGATCGGTTGAACTGACCGTGTGTGTCGAAGTTTTTTTGGATTAAAGCCGTTTGAAGTAATCAGTTGAACTGATGTCAGTTTAACTGACCGTGTTTGGGGACCATAAGGCTCAGACGTTTTTTTGTTTAGCAAACCCACCATTTGGTTACAGAGTGGCTCGTAATTGAAGGCATATCTTTAATTTTAGCTAGGTTGTACTTATACATTTTCAGCTTGGCTGGAGGAGTTAACGTGAAAAGTAGTAACGTAATTTCCATAAAAAAATAATAAGTACGTAGTAAAATATTGTTTACGTACTAGAATTAAAGAAATAGTTATTATAGAACAATTTATTAAAGTACTTAAAAATACATATACACATTTTTTTACACATACAGAAAACATTTTTGTAACAGAATACATAATTCTGTTGTAGGTATAATTATTTTTCAATATTATAGAAAACGAGAAATAAAATTATATCATTATTTGTAATTATGCTAAAGTGCGAGTATTAAGGTAGGTACTGTCTAGTCTAGAATATAATTACAAAATAATAAATACCAGAAACTGACGACTTGATTTTCTGAAGTAACTACTTATATACTAATGTGTTTATATCTAAATAAGCAACGTTATTAAAGTCGTAGATAGGTTACTTGCCTACAGTGATTTCTTTTATCTATTTGACATTTTATAAATGGTTTAAATATCTTCACATGTTTTTAAATGATACCGTTTATTTTAACTTTACTTTCAAAAGTATTTTAAAAACAGCACTTCTTAGGAATGAAACTGTTTTCAACGTTTTCTTAAGACTGTTAGTAACGTTCGTTATTTAACACTAGCAAGTCGGGGAAAACAGCTAACCTACAAAGGCCTGTTACCTAGTCTCTAATTAAGCATATATGTGTAGTATAATTGTATAAATAGTAGATAATATTCATTGTTACAAAGGCAAATGAAATATTTTTGGTTTCTAGTGTAAATATATTATGTTTAATAAAAAACTTATTTACAGTTATGACATATGAATATTTTAGATAGATTACATCTGCCACATAGTGGTTTTTTGCACAAGTCACACACTTTATTAGTTTTATTTTTACAATGAGTTTGATAGCAATTACGCCTCTTCCTCAACTCAGTTGCTGGCATTTCTAAGGCGATAGATCGTTGCAGTGAGGTTTCTTCACGAGTGGGTTCTTCTAAAATGTTACTCAGTTCAACCGCCAATCGCAGAATAAATTCTCTTCTTCGTATTTTCTTGTTGTTTATTTCTTGGTACAACACCCATGCATTTATCGCAGATAAATCTAAAATATTATAAAATACTTGTACCGGCCATCTTCTAGAAGGTGCTCTTGTGCTATATCTTCTCGCCATTTGATCGACAACGGCAACACTGTTTTTAGTTGAATTGTAAAACATAACAGTTTCAGGTTTTTTCTTGACATCGCCACTGTGTATATGAACACTATCATGTAATGTACTCAATAACAAAACATTTTTGCTTCTCTTTGTTTGGTAAACAGTCAATAAGCATTGGTCATTTTCTGTTTTTAATGCTTTGGTGTCATATAAATCCAATGTTAGATTTTTTACGTACGATGGAATGTCAGGTCCCCCTTTATTTATAGTACCAACCAAAGTTGTACGTTTTGAAAGCAAGTTCTGTGCGAGAGACACAGATGTGAAAAAGTTATCTGTAGTCACATTTCTACCTTTATTCAAAAATGGTTCCATAAGATGCATGACGATGTGTTGTCCAAGACTTTGCGGTCGAGTTTCATCTTTCCCAAGATATGGGTAAGCATTTAACAAGTATTTCGATTTGACATCAACACAGAGCCAAAATTTTATTCCAAATTTATCAGGTTTATTAGCCATGTACTGGATAAAAGGGCAACGAACTTTTGTAGCAAACAACTGTTCATCTATTGTTACATTTTCTCCCGGTTTGTAGCACGAAATGCAGTTGTCAATAAAGCGATTCCATACTTGAGAAATCAACGCAAATTTATCTGTTATAATTCTCGTAGATCGTTCTGATCTTACATCGAATCGTAAATATTTCATAATTTCTTTGAATCTATCCCTAGGCATGGTTTTAGAAAAATATGGAATGCCCCATATTTTACTCCATAAATCATTTACAGATATATTTCTCGCTACAAAACAACCTCTAACATATAGAATGGAAATGAATCTTTCAAGTTCTTCTAGGGAAATATACCATGAATGACCAAGCCGACGCTTTGCTTCGGCCTCAGTACAATTTTTTATGTGTCGTAAAATCGTATCATCTATCAAAAGTTTCCAGGCTGTCATGAATTTCTCTCCAACTTGCCCCCGTGCATAGCCGGTAGGTCCTGGCTGTTCAGTCACAACATTATGACATCCTCGGCGACCTGCCACCTCTGAGCCATTTTCAAATTTGGATTTCCACAATATTCCACCTGGTGACATCATAGTATTTCGAGAGGCATTTCCATAAAATGATGATCGAACGCCACGTACTCTTCGTCGCCGATACGATCTTCCCCTAGTTTGTTGTTGAATGGTAGTCAACGGTATGTTGCTGTCTGAATCATCACTAGAACTAGACTCAGGAGATGCAGGAATATAACAATCGCTATCTTCTATTTCTGGTGGTAACGAGACACCTTCACTTTCACTATCCGATTGATCTTCTGGCAACAATTGCAATAATGTCAATATTGTTGCATCACTGATACGCTGAGACATTTTCATGAAATACCAACCAAAATAATGAAATTGACACAATGAGAACGCGTAGAGTAATGAACGTATAAACTAAAATATTTGGGTATGTAAATCAAGACCAGGCAATAAAATTAAAGTAAATATAATTATCCTACTCACAACAGCAATGCATTCATCTATTGAATAGGTCCAATGACCCTAGCCGTCATTGAATGTGAATGTTATTTTTATTCAAATTTGTATAAACATATTACAATGTAAATACTTTTGTTTATAAGACAATCGTAGTTCATTAAAAGTCACGAAGTACAAAACTGTATGAACAAACAGTGACAAAATAAACAGCGCTGCAAGTTCAAATACGGGTCAAAAGTCCCTTGCCGCCTTGCTAGTGTCAACCTCAGATTATAAAGGGGCTTATGCAGGTGTTGAAAATCAATAATCAACAATGACATTTAAAAGGTAAATAAAATAATTTTCATGCATTTTATAAATTTGCTCAATATATTAGTAGGTACTCGTTTATATTGATGTAACCAAAAACAAACTTCAAAGCGTCAGAAAAAGTATCATAGTATGTGTTTTTTCATAAGTTTAAAATATACCCTTTTAGCCGTATAAGTAATAACAAATGACAAACACCCGAACGGACAAACTATCATATAATATTGTAAGGATTTAAGAACAACTTTAAATAAATGACGGCATACATAATCTTTTACAATTAAACAATTTACATATGTTAATAACCTACAGACACAACACATAACGTCTGCAATGGTCATGCTTTGCATTTTACTAGGATTCATGATCATAAGCAATGCTTATTGCGAAGAGGGAATATCTGCTTAAATCATCCAAATTTGGAGGAAAATATAATCAAACAAGCTATGAAGATCGGGGCTTAGAACTGTCGTCAAATCCATAGATAGAGTTAACACGCCGAAGAATATTTATCACGATTTACTTCACAGCTTGGGTAGAAAATATTCTCACGATAATTTATTATCTACGTGCATTTCCCAACGATAATAATGATTCTATCTATTTTCAATCTTATAAACCCACGTAGACCAAGAGTGTACAGAGTCTTCATCGCCTTTATAAGAATGACTCGCTCTGCAGTAAAGATAGGAAACAAACTAGCACGATATGGTAAATTTGTTAGCAAACTTTAATTGGTTGAGTAGGCAGCATTGCTTGTGAGATGGCAAAAATCTTTTGGGGCAATACCCAATAGAAAGTACAAAAAAGTTATTACTCAATAGAAACAATTACATGAACTACGTATAAAGGGATAGCAAAACTGAACGTAACAATAACCCAACTATATCTTAGACTATTTAAATAAAATCGCAATCAATTCCCAGACTATTTACGACTTAAAATTACATGGTTAACTTTTGTTCTCAAATTAAATTGACAACATTCTATGAACATCCAATCATCTCAACAATCTAAGCATCTCTTGTATCATTGGATAATCAAAGACTATTGCGACCCTGTATTTCTTACAAATAAAATATCAATCACACGCTATTTGAATTTAAAATTGAATTGATAAAGTTAATTAAACCAATTAATATTTCTAGTATGGGATTTTGAAAACATTACCTAGAAATGGGATTAGATTTTAATGTATAATCTATATGTAATTGAAGCCTCAATTAATTCGGTAGGACCACGTTGCAAATATATAATGGTTGTAGTACGAATGGGTCGGCTCTCACAGAATACCAGCGTGAAATACCAGCATAATACTGCTGTGTTTCGTATGGTGAGTGTACAGAACCGGAGACCCGTTTTACTGGAAATCAGGCATTTCATCTTAGTCCTCACGGGTGACAACGCATCTGCATTTTGGTTCGTAATCGAGGATAGATGAGATAGAGATCTCTATGGAGCACAGAATCTTTTTACCATCAGGTGGACTGTGTTCATTGCTCACCCTTATAATAAAAAAAAACAAATAAAATTATAGAACAAAGATTTAAATTGATTATATACTACATCCAAACATATTATCATAATATAGATATCTTCATTATTTTTGTTTCTAGATCCAGATTCATGTACATGAATGAATTGTAAAATGTGAATTGGACTTGCAAATCAGTGACATTTTAGGTCCTTTAAGAAACCTAATAGGGCACATACTCTCCAAAAAAATTAGTAGATGAGAAGTAAGATAGTCTAACCTGATGCATCCATCCAACGTGTGATTTAACAGACCTAGATCAAGCAACTATTAAAAAGAAGACAATCGTTTGCGATACGTTATTTATTACACGGATCCAGCGTGCGCGTCAATTACATAATAATACCCTCTTATATACTACAAAATAATTAAAAATAAATAAATTATTTGCTTGTTTGCTCGGGCGCTTTGGGTTCAGTTTCAGTTTGTTCAGGGGACTTTTTCTCCGCCTGGACTTCTCCATTCGTGGCTTGCTGTAATAAAAAATAGTATAAAATAACAAGTAAATAATACTTAACAAAGAAACACGACGGCTGTGATCAGAGCTAATAATATAATTTTATATGGAGCTAATAGTTAAAGTTCACTAAAATATGTACACTTTTTTTTATAAAGTTTAATCACAGTACACTTGATGGGAAAATTACTACTGCAGGCAATATCAAATAACATCGCACAAAGATGGCTACAGATGCGCTGTCATTTCCGAGGCCTAAGATGGAATGCCTCACCGCTTGTATTTATAAAGCCGCGTCTCCACCAAAGTTTTGTTGTCAACACAACATATGCCAACAAAACTTGTTTCGATTTTCGGCGGCAACATCAAAGTAATTCGCTTGTTGCCAACATTTCTTGATTCTTGAGACGCTTGTTGACAGAAACATTTGTTGGCAATACGTGTTGGCAAATGTTGTGTTGATAGCAAAACTTTGGTGGAGACGCGCCATAATGGCTCTTACGTTTTAGACTGGTATATACTCGTGACGGTGCACATATCTACTGTTGTTTGGCGACAGAAATAGGTAAAAATAAAAAGATGATGGCGATGTAAGAATTCCACTACCCCATATTGTTCCGTGAGTATAGTGAGAGTCGACAGAGGGAAACAACGTACAACGTTGAGAATTGAGATTTATACGTGGTAGAGCCATGCTGCAACTGTATTAGTAGTATAGTTGTAGCACGAATGGGTCGGCTCGACCGGCGAAGGACCACGCTCTCACAGAATACCAGCGTAAAATAGCAGCTTAAAACTGCTGTGTTTCGTATGGTGAGTGTAGAAAACCGGAAACCCTTTTTACTAGAAATTAGGCATTCTAACTTAGTCCACACGGGTGACAACGCATCTGCATTTTGGTTCGTAATAGACGATAGATGTAGATGTCTATGGGCCGCAGCAACCACTTACCATCAGGTGGACTGCGTGCTCGTTTGTCACCATTATCCTATAAAAAAACGGACAACTTCTCTGTGGAATTGTTTACCACCGGAGATTTTTCCGGACCGATACGACTTAGGGACCTTCAAGAAAAGACCTTACTCCTTTTTAAAACGCCGGCAACGCACCTGCTAATCTCCTGGTGTTGCGATTGTTCACGGGCGGAGGAAGTCACTTACCATCAGGTGAGCCGCATGCACGTTTGCCCCAGCTTCTTAAAAAAAAAACTAGGAGCTGGGCTGCAGCGTCTTCATAGTAAAATCTGGAAAATATATAACTGCTGTTTCCAACTCTCCCGCCAGTGGCAATTATGATCTTTTTCTTTATCTTTTTTGTTAAAAATAAAAACTTAACCCCTCACTAGGAATTTCTCATGTATCGTGGAGGCAGTTTACAAACATAGATTGCACGAGGACGAACATCCAGACCCGGAACAATTATTTGTAGGTCATACAAATACCTGTTCCGTGCGGGATTCAAACCCGCGGCCCCCAACGCAACAAGTCATTGCTAAGCCACTGCGCCACGGAGCCGTCGATTTAATATGATCAGCAGATTATAAATATGATCATCAGTGGACTTTTTAAAGGTTGTAATGCAGCATAATAAAGCCAGATATACCAACAAGGGGGAGGGAGTCCCACCACCAAGTATTAATATAAGCGAGTGCTTAACTATAATCTGGTGGTCAGAGTAGATGAATCTTTTTAAATCTAAAAAATTCAGGTATGCTATATTTTAAGGGCCATTATATTTTTAAGAGCGTCGTATGGGCATAATTGTATGAGAAAGCTGAAGTTTGCTCAACGGTGCAACAAGAAGTTATGGAGAGGACTAAGTTCGCAATTTATCTTCCAGATGGCCTACGTAATGATGATATCTGCAGTAGATTTAAAGTAACCAATATAGCCCAAACGGATCAGTAAGCTATAAAGGCAACGAAGAAGTAAGCAACCGATGTAGAAGAAAGATTATCTAGTAGCAGCCTCGTACCGGTTAGTTATAGGGCGGCTCGTCACATGGAGTGATGACCTGGTAAAATATGCAAATAGTCAATAGATGTAGGTAGCTTAAGACCTTGCTTTGTGGCGTTCCTTAACGGAGGCCTTTGTTAGGCGGTGGACTTGTGGTGGGCTGTAAAGATGATGATGATAGGTATAATTACCGTAGCATCTAGCCCATGACACACAGGAGATAAAGACGAATTTAAGGATATCTCAATCTAACCAAATTCCACCAAGGACAAACATATACAGAGCGTCCGTTGCGCGGGTGAAAATGGAGGACGTGCAGTAAGGTACATTTATGTGCCGGCGCGTTTTGTCTAAGGAGTTGTAGAGGAGTTGTTCAGCTCGGAGGAGGGGCCGGCAGGGGACAGCTGGGGCTGGTGTTCCCGTGACCCTGCCTATATGCGCGGCTAAGGGGAACACCATTGGGTTTTAGTTGGTTCAAGTCTGACATAATCCGTTATTGCCTGACGAGGTGGGTATGCGTAAGCATTTCGTACGTAGCATACAAAGGTTCGTTATTTTTTATGAACTCTATACGTTAGCGAGAAAGCACTAATAAAATGATTGATTGCAATTTTAAGTGCTCGGCGGTGAAGGAAAACTGCAAGTCAAGGAACTAAAAAAAAATTCGAGGCCTACACAATTTGAGGTAGCAGGGTAGTCAGGAGAATATCATTATATTATTATGTTTTATATATTTATATTTAAATGTGTGTACCAAATAATCAGTTATTACTTTCTTTTTTTCTGTAGATATTTGTGTCACTCACCGCAGCAGCTTTTTCCATATCATCATTTTTCTTCTGCTGTAGTTCTTTGGTCACCTCTCTGATGAGTTCCAACTCTTCTAAATTCTTCTTAGGTAAGGGATCGAATACCCTCACTACCTCTTTTTGAGGATCGGTCATGTTTTCCAGGAATTTCTCATAGCGAGACGTTATAATATCGAACCGGGTTTTCTCGATATCGTTAAACTTCATTGTAGACATTTTCTTTTTCTGTAAACAAAAATAGCTATAGTCTGAAGAGCGATATAGGTATGGTTGAAACCGTACCATATAAAATAGAACTAAATATTTATAAATGTAAATAGAAGAAAGTATTTTTTTTACAAAAAACAAAAAAACAATTACGCAATCAAAGTGTTTGCCTAAACTATTAACACATTCTTGGCATTTTATGGTCAGTTTGTTGACGTCCTTGCTATAGAAGTCTGCACGAGGATCTATTAAGTATTCAAAGGCACTCTGTATTACTTTTCCGTAAATGCAACGTGAGTATGTGAATCAAAAATTAAACTAAATTTCTGGTTATAATTGATATAGTTCGCAATTAACAATTTTACTCAAAATTCCCTCCTTTCTATACCGATTCTGCAACTTGATGCAAGCTTGGACATATGCCTCTCGCTGTGCGTCTCTCAGTTTCTGAGGAATCTATTCGTCAAGCAGCTTTATTTTACCGATTTGCTGCTAACGATATTACTTCGTTTTATTATAGACTTTATTTACAATTTTACATAATACTTAATTTTTATCTACAATATTAAAACTATGATAATAAAAAAAAAACTAAAACTAGAAAAAAAAACTTTGTTTTGACACTTAATATCTAAAACCGACGTTAGCTCATCCGTGACTTGAGACAGATCCACTTCCACTATCGCTTTCACTTTGTCATTATCAACCTGCTTTTTTGGGATGTTCATTTTTAGGGTCAAAATTTCATTTGAAAGAATAACGCACAGTTCGTTTTTTAGTAGAGAAATAATTATCAAAAAAAAAAAAAAGTAAAATAAGACAGTGTATTTTTTAAATTAGTAGGCTACAAAAAGACTTAACATTGTTGACACATAACTAATTTAAGTACACTTAATTTTTAGCTAGCCACATGTATTTTCGCATTGGACTTTACTGAATTCACCAATTTGGATTCTTTAGTAGTATTCAGAAAAGATTTCGAATTCAAATAATTTACTTCAAAGTTCAGTCTAATTACTAATTCCACTTTTATTAAATTAAAGGCAGCTGTGATGTGAATAGAAGCAGTTTATCTGGAGATTTTGAGTTTTGTCGGGAGTTTGGAGATCATTTAAAATATCGGAAGAATTCAGACGAATCCCGACCATCTGGTAACCCTAGTTATACGAGGCATTGATATTGCATGCCGTTTGAGACGCATCGTTTCCACTTCGGGACTCATATTGAAAAATAATATTAAAATTTAAGAAAGCTAAAGAAAACACGCGTGGATCATGAGCTGTGTGATGATTCTAGAGAGAATCATCCCGGAGATCTTCATCAGGATACTAGGATAAAGTTATTAAATTATTGATACGTGTGCAAATTTTCTAGTCAATCGACCGTGTACAAGTTGGTGAAAATTACATTAAGAGATTCCGTTACATAGATTACACGCGCTTAGAGTCCATGGTTACAAATCTAGCGATATTGCAAAAAATCAAAAGACAAATATCTAATTTAAAAGAGAATAATTTGCCTTAAATATAACGTGTATTTGAATTTACAATTTCAAGTCAAAATTACAATAATATCTACAATAAATCAATATGTAATATTCAAAATTCAAAAACTGAACGTAACCGGTCTTCCCTGTGATCATAGGTTGCTGTAAAACACCCGAAACGTCGGGAAATAAAATAACTATTTTTTTTAAATAGAATATGGGTGACAAACGAACACACAATACACCTGATGATAAGTGGTTGCTACGACCCATAGACATCTACATTTATCCTCAATTAAGAATCAAAATGCAGATGCGTTTTCACCCCTGAGGACTGAGATGGAATGTCTCGTTTCCAGTAAAAAGGTTCTCCGGTTCTCTACACTCACCATACGAAATACAGCAGCATTAAGCTGGTATTCTGTGAGAGCGTGGTCCTACCCCGGACGAGCCCACCCATTCGTGTTGTAACCACAATATAGCTGCAGCATGGCTCTACTACGTAAAAAATTAAACGCGATAAAATCCGTAAACATGGTTTTATTAAAAATTACAGTTCAAGATGGTCAATTCCGGCAAACAATTATTTCATAGGTAAAAGCCTATAATATTTTCATTAGGTGAACTATATTTTATTAATTCATTCATTACAACCCTTCACAAGTCCGCTGCTGAACGTAGGCTTCCCTCAAGAAATGTCAATAACCAGGAAATGGGCAGCAGCATCTGCCTGATAACAGCTTAAAAATAAAAAAAAAATTGCGTTTGCCAACAATCTTCGCGTGGTGTACTAGGTATATACTGTTACAAAAATATATTGTACCCAACAACCACTAATAACAAAAATTATAAAATATTTTTTCCTGTTTTTTTTTTTATACACAATATTTAGTTTACTCACCTGCTCTTGATATCTACAGAAAAGTATAAATGATTGAAGTCTTACGTTCACTGTTTAGATTTTTGGCCACACTTTACACCGTACAGTTATCAGCAACATTTTTGTCAATACTTACATAATTTACTGTTTTATTTGAAAACTAATCAAACAAGTTCATTTACGAAATAGACTTTAAATAAATGCTCTTTTATTAATGTTTTTCTTCTTTTGAATTTGTTGTTGGGCACGTAACGAAAATTCACATTAAAAAAAACTTACTATATGTGAACGGTAGCATACGTGCGTTAATTACTTTGGTAGATGCGGCTGATTTTATACATAAACCTTGCTCCCAAAGGATACCCCATGTTTGTATAGTGAATATTTGGTATAAATTTTATTAATAGAACTATTCACAGATCAGGATACACAGGCTTATATCGTTCGTTTCAACTGCTGGTCTGCTAAATAATAATAGTAAACGCCCGCGTGTATTTCAACTAAAAAATCTGTAGTTATCGTTTCTTATATGATTGTTGTCCCCTATGTGAGTTTACAAAGCTAGCATTATATATAATCTGCTATATACATAATTAAAAAGGTAAATACGTATATAGCATATAGAATAGTTATACTACTATAGTATTAGGATTGCCTGTAACGATAATTGCAAGTGTTGAAATAAATAAATAAATACGTGTGGTGTTTTGTTGTATCAGGCTGTAATATATTGAACGTATAAAAACCGTTAATAGTTGATAAAATATATCTCTACATAGTATAAAACAAAGTCGCATCCCGCCATCTGTAAGCTTAGACCTTTTAAACTACACGACAGACTGAAAGAAATAATACATGCATATTATTATACAATTCTTTTGTCTGTGTGTATGTGACTGAACTCCTCCTAAACGGCTAGACCAATATTGGTGAAATTTTATGTGTGATTAAGTTGTAATCAACTTAATCACACATAAAATTTCACCAATTATTAATTCTCTAATGAGAATGGTTTAGATTCCCAATTGGACCCCGTAGGTGGCATTGTTGTTAAGACCCAGAAATCAACTGTGTGAAGTCGAGGCGAATCGCTAGTTGAATGTAATGTAAAACCAGTAGCTATTATACCTATATAATCTTGGGTTTTAGAAATTCTTGGGACCATAACTGTATTGATATGTATTTTAACATCATAATTATAGAACTTGAATATTTAACTTAGAATATCTAAAGTTATTTACAGTCAACTTTGTTAAAAAGTACACTCATCAAAAATGTTTTGCGTATCTGGCGTCAGGGGGTCAATTTAATTAATAAACATAAGCTTATATCGCCTCTGATAACCCTTTATTAACATAAGAACAAAACGAATAGTTTGAATTTTTAATGAATTTTCCTTTGAATATTTATTTTAGGTACAACTAAATGATACGTATAAAATATATATATTGTAACTAAATAGAAGAAATAGAATTGATTTCTAATGGTCGCTGTGTAGCTGGCGAAGAGAATCATATTAAAAACTATCCCATATTGTGGGTGTCGTAAGAGGAGGCAGAGGGAAATTAGGCAATTTATGAGAATGAAGATGAGGTGATCACCACCATGCTGATTTTAATAAAATTCATTTAAAATTGTACAACCGACTTCAATATAAATTATTTTATTTTTTTTATTTTATTTATTTATTACAAGATCCACAGCCCTAATTACAATGTAAATGAACTTAAGAAATAAACTTACAGCCAATAACGGATCTACTTTATACATTTTTTAACTTAAATTAATCGACCGACAATCAATAAGTTTGAGCCACAAAAACATAGAATTTTAGAATTAACAATTAAAAACAGCGCGTCTATCTTTCTCTCTGATCTGTGTGTTCGTGTACGCGCTTGTGTGTGTGTGTGTGTGTGTGTGTGTGTGTGTGTGTGTGTGTGTGTGTATGTGTGTGTGTGTGTGTGTGTGTGTGTGTGTGTGTGTGTGTGTGTGTGTGTGTGTGTGTGTGTGTATGTGTATGTGTGTTTGTATGTGTGTTCAATATACATACTAACCATTTCCTTCAAGTATTTCAAGAACTTCCCTCTTAAACACATGTCTACTACTATGAAAAATGTCAGTAACATTAAATTGCTTATTAAAAGTTCTATGCAATCGACTGACCAATGCGTTTTGTGCGTAATTTGATTTTGATCGTGTTACAGCAAATAATTTTGTGTGTCTCGTTCTAACTTTCGGGGCGCAGAAACTCAGTATTTTGGTTGATAGTTCAGGGCTATCTATATATCCGTTGCATATTCCGTGTAAAAAGGACATGTCAGCAAGTACACGCCTATTTTTGAGACTCGTGAGATTATGATAATGACAGGATTCATCATAGTTTTTAAAGAGGCAATGGGACCGATAATTTAAGTGTTTTATGAATTTTTCTTGCATTTTCTCCAAATCTTGAGTATAAATGATATACTGAGGGTTCCAAACTATGCTACAGTATTCTAGGATACTCCTAACATAAGCGTAATATAGTACTTTTAGGCAACCTATGTCTGAGAAGGGACGACTAACACGCAATACGAAACCCAGGCTTCTGTACGCTTTGTTTTTAATAATTTCTGTATGATCAGAAAATGTCAACTTGCAATC